GCACATGTTATAAACCTTGGATTGGAAGTCCTTCCCTAACAGCATTGTGGGTATACTGGCACTAAATGAACTAGCATGGTTCAGAAAGGGAGTTCATCACCTCTTCTCAAGGGTACCTGGGGAACAGCAATAAATGCTGGCCCAGCCAGCGATGCCAGCAGCCCATGAATAAATCAAAATAAAATGATTTGATGGTCTAAAAATACATTCTGCCTTACACTGACTACTTTAACCATGTTGTACCATTTTTTCAGAAACTGAACATGTTTGGAATGTGTTCTTCAATATATCCTACCATGCATTTAGTCACTCCATATGTCTGTGATGAATACTTGTCCAACAGTTCATTGACTTAGATCCTATAGTAAAGTTAACTTGAAATCTCCAGACTTTACAATTCCTGACTTTTCCAAAGACTCCTACTTGAAAAGATGTGCTGATGTCATCAAGCATCCACTCCCTCCACCACTGACACTCAGTAGCAGCAGTGTGTACAAGCAACAAGATGCACAGTAGAAATTCACCAAAAATCCTTAGACAGTACCTTCCAAACACACGACCACTTCCATTTAGAAAGAAAAAGGCAGCAGACACATGGGAACACCACCACCTGCAAGTTCTCCTCCAAGCCACTCATTATCCTGACTTGGAAATATATTGCTTTTCCTTCACTGTTGCTGGGTCAAAATCCTGGAATTCCCTCCCTAACCACATTGAGAGTCTACCTACAGTACCTGGACTGCAGTGGTTCAAGAGGGCAACGCATCACCACCTTCTCAAGGGCAAGTAGGGATGGGTAATAAATGCTGACCAGCCAGCACCATGTCTCAGGAGAAAATGGAAAAAAAAATCATTATAGTTTAGTAATCTCCCAGCACTTATTAAAATCACTATGTGCCTTAAGCAGCAATATATAATCATTTCCATATCTATGGTCTCCCCTCTGTGCAGGAAGGAATTTCAAAATAATTTAGATGGAAAGAAACAAAAGACAAGAAAAAAAAGAGATCATTGGTGGGATGAGACAACCAAAGCCATGGTCAGAATAAAGAGATTTTAAAAATATTTGAAATCAGGAAGGAAGGTGGCAAGGACCTCTTGAAGTGGCCAAAGGAATCCAGAAGCAGGAGAGTTGCAAATAAACAAGCAACCATTAATGCTGAAGCAGAGAATGAAGGCTACAAAGAGAAATGGGTGCCTACCTGGATGTTAAGAAGTACATAATTGATATAAGGAGCTAATGAGAGGTTTTGACAGCATGAAATGCTCAGGTCAGTGTGTCACTGAATGTTAGAGATGGCAGTGGTAATAGAAGAACAGACTGTACCTGGGTAAGGAAGTTGGTGAAGAACCAAAGGAAAGGGATCAGCTAAGAATGCATTGGAGATACCAACTCTTGAGATGGTGAAAGTATAGTCCAAGAGTTTAGTTATGAAGAAGGACAGATAAGTACATAGGACCATATTGGTATCTTTTAAAATAAAAACAGGTTTAGCAGCATAGCAGGTGAGGCTGAATTTGGAATTAAGTGGAACGCCAACATTCCAGATCTCCCAATTTGGGTTGAGGTGATAGATGTGAGGCTGGTGGAGTCAACCATAAATTGTACATTTCTTATGTATTTAATTCTTTGCACATGGCAGACATTAACTGTGGATTCACTTCTGGCCCCTATGAGTAGTTACAGGTGGAGCCTGAGTGTCTAAGTCACTAGAGTTCGTGCTGCTAAGCAGTAGATCCTGGGTTCAAGTCCTATTACAGAGCACATTATTCAATGACCAATCATTTGTGTGGTTAAAAACTTTCACCTATTTGAGTAGTTCCCCTTTGAAATGGACTGCTTAATCGGTAATGGTTTTCACAAAAGAATTGTAACAGAAACAACCTGAAACTGTTTTGACTGGGTTAGGAGATGCACGTTTGATATATAACACTCTTATAAAAAAAGCTTATAAAAATGTTTGAAGATTGGCTCTGGTATTATCCTTCACCATTAGAGTTTGTGAAGTACAAGATAAAAGCCAGAGGTAGCAAATGCGTCTTGAGAAAGAATGCACCAAGGATACACCAAGACATTGTAGAAAGTAATAGTTTGCATAAAACTCTATCCAGTTTGCTGGTGTCATACAGCCTGGACCGGGGACATTAGGAGAAAAGCTCCAGATGTTGAAGGGGACAAACAAATCATTAATGTTTCCGACTAGTCTGAATAACAATGTATAACTAGCTAAAAGTTATCTTAGTAATGTCTGTTTGGACATATTATGTCACACCTCTGGGGCAGGCGAGACTTGAACCTAGATCTTCTAGCCAGAGATGAGGGCACTACCACTGTGCCACAAGAGCCCTCCCACTAGCTCATGTAACTTGTACCCAATTGCTGTTATGCAATAATTACATATTTTTAAGATAAGAGCATTTCTTGTTAAGACTTACCAATGGCTGTTCCTCTATCACTTAATACCTATTTAGGCCCTTAGACACAATCAAGAAAAGAAGGATAAATACAAAGTGCTGGAGAAACTCAGCAGATTATGCTGCCAGACCTGTTGAATTTCTCCAACGCTAGCTGTTTTTATTTCAGATCTCTAGCATTCATAGTACTTTGCTTTTATTACCAAGAAACAGGAATGGTGGCAACATATTTCTATTGACAAATATCACACACAGGAGTTTGTATATGTAAGGAAGGAAAGAACTCACTGCAGAGGGGTAAACATCTGTAGCTTTAATTTATGAGAAAATAAAAATATGGATTTAAGTTACACTTTTGTATTTCTTAAAATTTCACAGCCAATGTATCACCTAAATCAACATCTACTTTCCTTCGTGTTAGGTATGATTCCAAGATACAAGTCAGGAATGTGCTGGAATGCTCTCCACTTGCCTGGATGAATGCAGCTTCAACATGATTCTAGAAGCTGGACACCACTCAGGACAAAGCAGCCCTCTTGATTGGCAGCCACCATTTTAAACATTCACTCCCTCCATCATTGACATACATGCCAGCAGCTGTGTACCATCTACAAAATGCATTACAGCAACTCACCAAGGCTCCTCCAACAGCGCCTTCCAATCCTTGACCTTTACCATCTAGAAGGGCAAGTGCAGCAGACCAGAGACAAACATAGAAGATAGGAGCAGGAGGAGGCCATTTGGCCTTTTCAGCCTGCTCCGCCATTCATCACGATCATGGCTGATCGTCCAACTCAATAACCTTATCCTGCTTTCTTCCCATAACCTGTGATCCCATTCACCTCAAGTGCTATATCTAGCCATCTCTTGAATAAATTCAATGTTTTGGCGTCAGCTACTTCCTGTGGTAATGAATTCCACAGGCTCACCACTCTTTGGGTGAAGAAATGTCTTCTCACCTCAGTTCTAAATGGTCTACCCCGTATCCTCGGACTGTGATCCCTGGTTCTGAACACACGCAATGACCATCACCACCACCTGCAAGTTCCCCTCCAAGCCACACATGATCCTAATCTGGAAATATATCTCCATTCCTTCACTGAAACTCCCCCCTTAATAGTGTTGTGTGTGTACCTATACCAGTTGTTCGAAAGCAGTTCAAGAAGGCAACTCACCATCACCTTCTCATGGGCACTCAGGGATGGGCAATAAATTCTGGTCTAGGCAGTGATGGTCACATGCTGTGAATGGATAAACATATAGCATTCGCTTTGCAAAGTAAGCTCCCACAGACTTCAGCAGTGCATCTTTAATGTCCACCTGAACTAACAGAAGAGATACTTCTGGGCTCAATATTGAGTTCACCACTTAACAAACTTCTAGGTTCAATGTTGAATTCAATACCTTCAAATTGTGAACCCATTCCTTCCCTTTCTTTTAGCTTTGCTTGTTACATTTTCTATCACCCTCTCTTGCCACTCCCCCACCCCAGTGGGACTGTCCATTCTTTCCAATTTGGCAGTTAGATAAACCATTGTTCTGCCATTCTTACATTCTGATTACTTACTCTGAACCATGGACTATCAACATCCTTTCTCCTCCAGTACTACAATCCCCCACCACTCCATTCCCCTACCATTGCATTAATGCTGCTCCCTTCACACTTCACTTCAGCTCTGAAGAAGAGTCATCTAGACTCGAAACATTAGCTTGCTCTCTCTCCATGGATGCTAACTGACAACTGTGATCTCCAGCATTTTTTGTTTTCAGTTCAGATTCCAGCATCTGCAATAATTTGCCCCTAGACAGTTCACTATCCTACCTGAAGGGCAGTGCTTTTAACAGAACTGCATCAACTCAGTAATGTGTCAGTGTCAGTGTCAGCATACTACATATATTTGAGGGCTGGAATAGAGCTTGAATCTTCTAAATGTATCTAGCTTTGGCAGATGAATATTGCAATTATTTCCTACTATCAGTCAATATTAATATCTTTTATAGATACAATTAAGTTTCACATCAACTTTGTTAAAAACTTGATTAAGGAGCTGCATTACCATCCACCTCCCCTCCCCCAGCCCCACCCCTCTTCCTCTCACCTTCTTGACCTGACACAACCCATTCATCTTCTTTCCCACCTATCCGCCCTACCCTTCCAATCCCCACTACCCCTACTTGCACTCACTTATCACCACCCCACCTACCTTCCCCAAGCCCCAACCCTCTTCCCTCTACTTATTTCCCAGCTCCTTACCCCTCCCCATTTCTGAAGAAGATCCTGACCCGAAACATCAACTTTCCTACTCCTCTGATGCTGCCTGGCCTGATGTGTTCCTCCAACTCCACACTGTGTTGATTTCAAAAGCCTGTCCTGTTGGCATTTACATAATTAGATGCTTGGCATTAAGATTTTAAAATCACTGCAAAGTTTTTTGTTTGTTTGTTGTGAATTGGTGACCATTGCTAAAGGGCTTCAGCTAGAAACAACTTTAAATTCTCAGCAATGCCCATAAAATCTAGTTTGACACTATGGTTCTGCTAGAGACTTGGGGGAAACAGAAGTTTGCTTTCCTAAACAGTGAGACTTACTTGGGTGGAGCCAGGATATCCTCAAGGAATTCCTCAATCTTATTGACATCAGTTTTCACTTCTCCATTGAAGGTTATGAATGGGGGGTGTGTTCCTGGAGCAAGATTTTGCAGGTCAGCAGGTTTCCTATTGATTCAGAAAAAAAATGTCATTAGTTCTCATCAGCAAAATAATTGGGCATTCTCAGTACTGCGTGGAATTCATAGTGAGGGAACAGAATGCTTGCATTATGGTTTAGGTTGAAATTTATGTTTACGTTTTACAAACAGGCTGAGCAAGGTCCCCAGCAGGTCAGGCAGCATCAGAAGAGCAAGAAGGTTGACATTTCCGGAATCAACTTTGCTGCTCCTCTGATGCTGCCTGGCCTGCTGTGTTCCTCCAGCTCCACGCTGTATTGACTCTGACTCCAGCATCTGCAGTTCTTGCTATCTCCTGAGCAAGACCCCAGCTGCTTCATGGTGTGCTCTGCTGGTGCTTTAAACTCTGGCTTCAGATTCAAAATTAGTTAAAACCTGCCTACAACACTGGCCAGGCTTCTCCACCAGTTATCAGCCATTCTTCTCACTGACCAGTAAATGACAAAACAAAAGATAGCGGTGCCAGTTAACTTAAAGAAAATAAAGAAGAGAAAAAGACGAAGAGAAGTGAAAAGATCACGTCAGATAAAGGACCAGAATATGAGGAAGAGAGAAGCAAACAAACTAAAAACAAAAAGCGAAAACTCAAGAGATTAAAAGAAGTAGAAAGAAAGATGGAGGAGTCTTGTCACCTTCTGGGAGCAATGATGTTGGCAATATACTGGTGATAGAGAATGAGATATTCAGGGACAGGGGGCAGAAAATCTTTCTGAAGTCGGAAGCATATCTACATGATAACCCAATCACAGAATTGCATTGGAATAGACCAGCAGAATATTAAACCGCGTCGTACATTAACAGAGTGCTGTTGCCTACAAATACGACTTCATTCTTGTAAATTATACAAGCTCCATACACTTATTTTTATTGGGAACTCAAAG